CATCACAGGGCCACCTAGACAGGTCTCAGTCCATCACAGGGACACCTGGACAGGTCTCAGACCATCACAGGGACACCTGGACAGGTCTCAGTCCATCACAGAGACACCCGGACAGGTCTCAGACCATCACAGGGACACCTGGACAGGTCTCAGACCATCAAAGGGACACCTGGACAGGTCTCAGTCCATCACAGGGACACCTGGACAGGTCTCAGACCATCACAGTGACACCTGGACAGGTCTCAGACCTTCACAGAGACAGCTTGACAGGTCTCAGTCCATCACAGAGACACCTGGACAGGTGTCAGTCCATTACAGAGACACCTGGACAGGTCTCAGTCCATCACAGGGACACCTGGACAGGTCTCAGACCATCACAGAGACACCTGGACTGGTGTCAGTCCATCACAGGGACACCTGGACAGGTCTCAGTCCATCACAGGGACACCTAGACAGGTCTCAGACCATCACAGAGACACCTGGACAGGTGTCAGTCCATTACAGAGACACCTGGACAGGTCTCAGACCATCACAGAGACACCTGGACAGGTGTCAGTCCATCACAGGGAAACCTGGACAGGTCTCAGTCCATCACAGGGACACCTAGACAGGTCTCAGACCATCACAGAGACACCTGGACAGGTCTCAGACCATCACACGGACACCTGGACAGATCTCAGTCCATCACAGGGACACCTGGACAGGTCTCAGACCATCACATAGACACCTGGACAGGTCTCAGACCATCACATAGACACCTGGACAGGTCTCAGACCACCACAGGGACACTTGAACAGGTCTCAGTCAATCACAGGGATGAGTAGAGACAACCATTCTCAATCAGCATCTAACATGCAGGGACATGGAGGAAACCCAATGAAAGCTCACAGAGAGACTCCACCAAGACTGCCCAACTCCCCAGCTGGGATTTGATCTGGCAATCTTCTCCCTGAGAGCCACCAACTGAGCCACCGTGCTGCCCGAGCGTTGTGTATAAGATAAATACAATGAAAATCTGGGTCAGTCTAATTCAAGATGGCTGCTTTCCAAAACACAAACATTATTATAACTCAGCAGATGAAGATTGTGGTGTGGTAGTAGCTGAGGAGGATCTACTTCACACATATGAGTGCTAACAGGTTTTAAGATCTATTTACAGTCAACTGTGTCTGTTAGCAAAATATCTCATGAACAACTGGGCAGGTTTTAACGAACCATTCAAGAAATAATCGACGGATGTTTTAAACACTGAATTTTGAAGCCAGTCCAGTGTAATATGGCCGACTGACTTTAGATCTTTGCCTACAACTCCTACAATACCTGTAAGACTCAAGCCTATACTGTATATCTATTAGCAAAAAATCTGTAGTACAGGTCTCTTGTAAATGAGTCCTTGTGGCTCAATGAGATGAACCTGTATAAATAAAGGTTCAATGGATGAATTAAATAATCTTGTGAACCACTGGTCAGCTTAAAACTTTCAGAAAGTATTCATGATGTGTGTGGACCACATGTGCTAAATGATGTGTGTGGACCACATGTGCT